CTAATTTATCTGAAGGTTTAGTTAATAGCACTCTGATTATAAAAATAAGACAGTGTCATATAGAAAAGTTTAACAAAAACGAGTATTACCTTTATTGGAGTTGAAGACCTTTTGATGACTTAACATGAGAGAAATCCTCATTGACCAAGTATTGATCCTTTAAGTAGATTACATTATATTTGATACTTTGGACACATCACACAGTCACATAATCTTTAAAGACAACAAAAACAACAATACATAACACAGTCAAATTTTGCATTTAGCTTTAATTTTACATGTATAATTTTCACGTGTAATATATTTACTGGCATCTTCATGGTGCCAAATGTCTTTGAAAATTCCTGTCTAAGCCAGATTTTGTTACACATGCATGCAAATTTTTGGAATGACCTTAAGATAAATGTAAGCACTTTGAGTTTTCAAGCTATAAATGTAAATCATCATACACTGACTTTTAATGGCAAAAACAAGTGAAGACCAGTTGCAATGTTTTTATTTGTCCGGTTACAATGTGAAGTTGTTGTTTTATGTGATGGAAACAGATTTTTTACTTACATACTAGTGGACTCTGTCACAGCTGCAACAACGCTGTAGTACAAAACAACAAGTCAGCAATATGTCTAAAAAAAAAATGTGTAAAAAACAAAAAAGAAGACATTTAACATATTTCCTGCTAGGTCAAGTAATCTTTAAGTTGTATAAGTGTAAGGTATAGGTTTCAAACTTAGTTTGAAAACATAGTTTTTGGTTCGAAGTCTAAGCCAACACAGCTGATTCAACTAATCAAGGTGTTAAAGACTAATAGAGACTATTAAGCAAGTGTGAGTTGGAGGTGTTTGAAGCTAAAAGGTGCAGAGTTGTGATCCTCCAGCAATTGGGTTTTACACCACTGGTGTAAGGAATTTTTGTGTCAGTGTTTTCCCAAATATTTAATTGCTATCATTGCAAGTCATTGCACATAATTTTATACAACATGTTTGAAACATGAAATGTGCACAAAACATTTTCGATTACTACCAAATATGAGTTTGAACTGTGATGCTGTCCTTACGTTTCACTTACAGAAACACTATTAATATCCCTTGCCAATCATTAGAGCACTGATATGACATTAAGCTGCTGCTTTTGTGCAAAGTCACTTAAGCCTGGCATTAAACGACTCAACAACAAAAACACACATTGCGCACAAGTAAAACTTATGCAAATGCACTGACATTGCTTAAGTTGCTTTAAGAACTAGGGTAAGGAGGAAGAGGGGAGGTAAATGTATTATAATGTATATATATAAGCAGTTTCATGCAAATATCAACCTTGCCATGAAAAAAAAATTGTTTTCAGCAAAATAGCAAAACTGTTTATCCATTTTTTTGCGTAAGCAAGTATTTTTAAAATGCTTTAAATATTTTTTTAAATGTCTCTGTCAATATTTTCAAACTATTATATTTAATTTATTTAAAGTCCCACAAGTGAAATTTTCACATCTGTCACATAACAAAGCTCGTTCATCATAAATGGAAAAAATATCAAATCAAATAAAAATTTTTGTTCAATAGAGAGACATATTTTATTTTTTGATTATCCTTGTTTCTTTTGGGTTGTGCAGTTTAATTCACAGAATTACTACAGAGTATGTTGAATACTGTAAACCTGCAGACTTTTTCTGTCACATTTACAAAGCATGTTTATTTCCCTCATTTGAAGTCTAATTAATGTTTACAGATTGATATTTTCCTGATCCCATAATTCTCTGTTTAGTTGCTTGGAAAATATAATTTCAATGTAATGTTAACATATACTTTATCTGACTTCAACTGTACACATATATATATATATATATATATATATATATATATATATATATATGTAATATAAAATATATATATTAGCGCTGTCAAAATTAACGCATTAACGCATGCGATTAATTTTAAATAATTAACGCGTAAAAAAAAATTAACGCAATTAACGCAGTTCAGTTTTTTTTTACTTCCTGTATTGGTGGACGTGTGTTCAACATGCAATAAATGTGGATAAGACCAAGGAAGCACTTTTTGAAGGCAAGTTCCAGTATAAAACAATTAGTTGCATCACAGGTTATCCAGAGTTTCATGCAATTTCGGGTGTTTCATTTTTAACTTTCGACATCTGTTGTAAGTTGATACCGCATGGCGAACAGAAAGAAAATCCTCCTCATTTCGTGACTTGGTGTTCCTGTAAGGTAAGGTTCCTTTTAAGGCTACACGGTAGAATTTTCATAAGAGTATAATCTTAATCATATTAAAATCGGAGTATTGGTGTCTTATGTAAATGTACTCAGAACGTCTGGTGAAGTCGCAAGCTGTCAAAGACAGGGCATTACTCTGCCTTTCAGCATGAGCCCTCTTGTTTACTGTGTGTTCTGCATCTCTCAGTTTTGTATGACTGTTACATGTGTTATGTTATCATATAATCCTGTGTGCTTGTCAGTTATATGCTTCATAATATCTCTGTTGTTGGAGTAGGACTGATGTTACTCTCTCCAGTACAGCAGGTGGCGGTGTGCAGCTTTCCTCTGCTCTCTGACTCAACACACAGTCAGAAGAAAAAGCGGTGTGTGTTGTGTTTACAGTCTGCCTCGCGTCCAGCGTTTACACTGCTTCATGTAAAGTCCCGCATGTATCCTCCTGCATGTCGTGTGATTGAATGTGAACCCCCGCATGTCCTTTGGGCCCCCGCATGTCCCTGTCTGCTGTGTTCAGAGTGTTTGTGCGGGTGTATTGCTAAACCCCTGATGTGACGCAGTTAAGATGAAATCTGTGATCTGGAGTCGCTGTTCAGTAAATCAAAGTTCTCCAATATATTTCCTATGATCTTATCACCATGTCTGCTGAATCCCGCATTTAAAACAGGCTTTACAGCATCGCTCGACGCGGATCGCTTGATTTCAGTGTCTGCACGGTCATGGTCGCGTGCATGAGCGGCCAAGGGCGTTCCCGAGTGAATATTCCCTATATGGGGCGTCTGCAGACTTGGATCAGCTTTCGCCCCTGTTGTTCTTAATGCGTCCAGAGTGGATGAAAGATACATGTCCAAATAAAACATTTGAAGTCAACGCTCAGATTATTAAATGTCCTGTTCATAAATATATATTTTTTATTTGATTAGGCTAAATATAAACGCCAAGTTAATGTATCAGAAAGTGAGTTATAAACTTACTAGATAATATGCAGAATTGATACACTCAACAAATAATTTCACATATGCAAAAGCCCAATTGCAAATTAATTTTGATTAATTTAATTAGAAAAATTACAAACACTAATAGTTTAATAGTGTAACGGTTAATTGTAGCCTATACGTTTTCATATAGCATATGGATTTTGTTGTGTTGTTTATATATAAAGTTGCATTTTGAAAATAAAATTATAACCAAACAATACAGTGTGATATGGAGTAATCATGTGCTTTGATGAGAATGCAGTGGTATTGACGACCAGACAACGTTTAGACAAACAATTCTCTACTTTCTACAATTCCAAGGACCATTTAGCTACCTGATGAACAAGAACCCAGACAACATTACCCAGACAGCACACATACGTTGGGCCGACGTCGTGCCGATTTTCAAAACTCCATCGGTGCGATGTCGCTCAGGGAGCGTTTGCTAATTGGCAAAATGTCGCCGCGACGTCGGCAAAGGATCGGAAACGCTGTCCGGCCGATGTTAGGACGACGCAACCGGAAATGCCGTCCGCTCCGCGGAGGCGCTGTTCTCAGGCGTTTTGCTCATACTTATGGACCACTAGCTGCAGCAGCTGCTTATTTATAATAAACATGACACACCACTCTCAATAACAGTTGAAGATTTATTAATATTTTTCACAAACATACAAATAGATTAACATACTTTTATCACACATAACCATGTTTTACCACGTTTAAAACAAAACCAGCAAGTTGTACTACAACCATGGCTGAAATACTGTGCAATAAAGATTTTAAATACAAAGTCCATTGCAGCATTTACATTAAGACCATAGGAATATTTACAAGTACTTCAAAACATGTACACTAAGGGTGACTATAGTTTACTATAGTAAAAACACAAATAACTTGTGTAAGCACATGTTATAATGCTTATAATTTCTTAAATAGTGTTGAAGAAAATGCATGTTTCCAAGACTATAATTTTAAAATACAAGATAATACCAGTTATGTGTTCAGTGTCCAAAAGACTTTTTTCAGGGAGTTACAATAATAAAAGAGGACACAAACACAAAATAAATACCAAGCAAACAATATTTACAGTAGTAAATAAAATCATATAAATTAAAATAATTTGATAAAATCTTATTAAAGTCTGTAGACAATTTTTTTTTTACAATTTTTTTATAAAAGGCATTCAACAATTTGCTATCTCCTCTGAACTAAAAACACATCAATAATATAAAATAACAATACTTTCTCAGAGATAACCAGTTTTTTTAAGCAAACTCTAATGCACGACACAAAACAGATTTTGTCATATATATATATATATATATATATATATATATATATATATATATATATGTATATATAAAATCCCTTAATTTCTGTTTAACTGAAATATTTTTAACACATTTCTAATGACAATTGTTTTAATAACTCATTTCTAATAACTGAGTAAATAATATTTGACTAGATATTCTTCAAGACACTTCTATACAGCCTAAAGTGACATTTAAAGGCTTAACTAGGTTAATTTGCTTAACTAGGCAGGTTAGGGTAATTAGCCAAGTTATTGTATATCGATGGTTTGTTCTGTAGACAGTCGCAAAAAATTGCTTGAAGTGGCTAATAATATTGACCTTAAAATGTTTTTTAAAAAATTCAAAACTGTTTTTATTCTAGCCGAAATAAAAGAAATAAGACTTTCTCCAGAAGAAAACATAACATTTTCTTGCTCTGACTTATAGAGGTGGAATAAAAAGTGTGTCGCCATCCTCTAAATTGTTCTTGTATGTTGTCTTCATCTTTAGTCTTCACAAGTGAGGCTGGCCCAAACCGGGACTGCAGTAGCCAAATCTAATCCTTGTAGTGGGAACCCTTAATTAAAGCAAGAAACCAAAAGGAGAAAGATTAGCATTTGAGCAGTTCATATTACCACAAATATATATTATTTGTTTCATGACATATAACTGGAGTATGTGTTATGCAAGTGACTAGCTAAAATGTGTAATTTAATTTAAACTTAAAGAGTGTGTCTAAGCACTAATGTTCAGAAAAGCCATTTGAAAGTTAAATTCCTTGTGAAATCATAATGAATGTTTTTTTTTTGGTTTTTAGTATCATTGTGTTAGTATAAATGTGTCTCTAAATATATGTCAAATCTTCAGATACCACATTACATGCAAATTAAACTAAGTTTCGTCAACTAAAATGTCACACTGTACATCACATTAAATATATCATAGCTAGGGCCAGGAGGAATCTGCAGATGTTTTTTGCTATTTCTGCTGAAAATTTTGGTGGAAGTCTGCGGATTTCTGCGGAATTATTTTGGGAGTATCATAACTAAAACCTTAATATATGAAATAAGAAATAATATATTTTTAAGTTTTATTTAATGTTTAAAATGCAAATCCAATTAGATTTACTTTATTTGGTAAATAAAGCAAGTTTTTCATATAACATATCTAGTAAGACAGAAAATATTACTGTACAAACTGCACTGTACATAAATCAGATGAACATTTTCACATTAGTCAATAATATTACTAAAATTAATTAAAAAACTGAATAAATATAGATTTACACACATTTACTCAAGTAAATAAACAGAATTAATGATAGGCTAATCATCTGCGGAGTTCTGCGAAAAATCTGGGTGGGCCTAATCATAGCTTTATTTCTGCTACAAAAAGGTTTTTCAGCAAACAACTTCTATTATATGTAGGCTATAGAGGAGGATATATAAAGAAATGATATATTTAACTCTCTAATTAAATGCACCTGATGCAGCTAATCAAGTCTTTTAGGCTTATTTGAAAACTTAAATGACGTGTTGGACCACAGTTGAACAACGCTCAGTGAGAATACTTTTTTGCACAAATTCTTTTTGTTCTAAAGAAACATGTCTGATTGTTAGCAATCATCAAAGAGCAAACTTTTTTTTTTCAAATAAATACTATGCTCTTAAAAATAAACTTGTCATACATCAAGAATACTAAAAATATGTTTATTTAAAATGTTTTATATTAAAAAAAAAAACAGCTTGAGGAGAGAATCAGTACATTGGAATACTATTTTTTCAGAAGGATCATGTGACACTATTAATTATATACATTGTATTAAATTCACAGTATTACTGCTTGACTGTATTAATTAAATAAAGCTGACACTATCAAAAGAGAATTTACCATACCAACCTAAAAGCTATGAAACAGTAGTGTATGTTTAAAATTTTACTTACTAGTCCTATTGTACTTTGGAGAGGTTGTCTGACAGGAGGATCCCTTCAACTCAGCAGAATTCTCAGCAGACCATCAGCGTACACCAATCTAAGAATAAAATGAGCAATTTGTTAAAAACCAAAAATATATATATTTTATATTTCCAGGTTTATAGGAAAGAAGAAAGCTAAAGCAGATTTAAAATGTAGAAAAAAATAAAACCTATTGACAATTTAATGGCACAACATACCCTAAACTAAGCACGCTCAAATGGTTAATTTTAACTGTTAAGGATTCATTCATTCATTGTCTTTTGGGCTTAGTCCCTTTATTAATCTGGGGAATGAAAGGCGGAATGAAAGGCCAACTTAGCCAGCCTATGTTTTACGCAGTGGATGCCCTTCCAGCTGTAACCAATACACACTCATTCACACACACTTATACACTATGGTCAATTTTAGCATACCCAATTCACCTATGTCTTTGGACTTGGGAAAACCGGAGCACCCGGAGGAAACCCATGCCAACACGGGGAGAGCATGCAAACTTCACACAGAAACGCCAACTGACCCAGCCGAAGCTTGAAGCAGCAACCTTCTTGCTGTGAGGCAAACGTGCTACCCTCTGCGCCACCGTGCTGCCCTGTTAAGGAATCAGATTAATATAAATTAATTGACATGTTTATTTAGTGTCTGACACATTAAATATTGCATTTTTAAATATTGTCTCATTTTAAGATTTATTTCAGAATTAACTATAGAACCTGGATATGTCGTCACATTTTCATGCACAGCAGCATTTCCAAGAACATAGAAAAACAGAATATAGGCCAACTGAAAAAAAAATAAATTAAAAAATTCTGAGGGTATAATCTTGGATAAAAATATCACAGTTTCACAGTATTGTGATTACTGCTCTGAAATGTGTTTTTTTTTTATCTCTGTGTAAAAAACAGCTACTTTTTCCCCATTGAACACAATATGTTTTGTTTTAAGAAACATTTAAAATATTTTGTAACAGTAAACATGCCAGGCTAAATAATAATTTAATAAAATAGTACTATCTTCATTAGACTCAAAAACACTGATTTCTTGTGAAGGCATAATAAGCTATTTGTTTTTCAGATGTTTGCTGAATCGTGAGCTGACCAGTAGCTTTTGATTTGGAGGGTCTTTTGCTGCTGTAAATAATGTTGGACTATTTTTTTAAGTCTTTGATAACGCGCTAAAAACCATATACAATGCATCCGGAAAGTATTGATACTTTACTTTTTCCACATTTTTAATGGTTCAGTCTTATTTCAAAATGGATTAAATTCATTAATTTCCTCAAAATTCTACACACAATCCCCATAATGTGTGTTGACCCGATTTTAGTTAATCATTTACAAGTCAATATTGCCTATATGGATTGTAATTTTAAAAAAAATTAACATGTAAAATTGCAGTGTTAAATGCAATGCCATCAAACATTTTAGACGCACCAGTGCAAAAAGCTAGTCTAGAGCACTTGGAATGCTGGTGTAGTTCTAGTTAAATTCAGTTCAGTTAAAGCTGTATATGCAACAGGTCTCAAGTAGAGGATATAGTATTTAACTAATCTTAACAACTAAACATTTACGAATCTGTATAAGCCAGCTCATGTACTACAATGTAACATACTGTATATTGCCACCTTGATACTTAAGCTTTCTTTAAAATATTTTGTGTTCAACCGATTAATTAATTCTTTCATTTAATTTTTTCTGTGCAATAGTATAGCTTACACTGGTGTATTTGTATGGACCCCCCAAAATAGCGGAGGCCACTTTCTGGCCACCCAAGTATAAACTTCTAGCCTAGCCACTGTAAACTACCTGTCTGTCCTGCTCCAGAACTCTTTGTCGGCTGCTTGTATGTCTAGATACAGCTGCACAAGTCTTTTAACACTGACAAATACAGCCTCTGCACATCCTCACAACCAGGAGAACAGAATGATCAGGAGGACCTGAAAAATATAACCAACTGAAATCAGTTGAAATGTATTTTGTCTTGTGATGATGACACAAAAATAAATTATTTTTCACAAAGGATGTGCTGTTACCTATGAAACGGTCTATAATGAATGATCTTTTTGATCCTGTTTCCTTGATGTCATTCACTCAGAGATGGTTTGGACATTTGATTGTATCTAAACTGTAATGAATTTAAGTTACAAAAACATTGATAGCAGGACCATTGATCTTGTAACTTATACAAATTGTTAAGTATTGAAGAAGTCTGCAACCAAACTAGTCAAGTTAATAATACTAATCTCAACTCAACTATGATTAGTTGTCTTGTTTCTGCTGCCCAGACGGTCTCTCCACCTGCTGATAAAAAAGGAAAAAGTATGGTATTTTTCCAACAATGAAACTGCAAACAACTTAACTATAAGGGGGTAAGCAGTGAGCATCTTTTATTATAAGCAATTTACTGAATACTTTGTCACTGGTATTACCTAAAAACCAAACGTCCCAAGTTTGGCTCATAGCTGTCCACACATCTGCCCAGTAGCTGGTGGTAATACTGAAGACACTGATCAGCTGGTCCAACTGAGTTTGGAGTTGAACTGCAATCAGGCATCCATTTCAGCTGGCATTTCTGTGTGGAGTCTGCAAATTCTCCCTGCGTTTGCGTGGGTTTTCTCTGGGTGCTCCGGTTTTGCCTACAAGTCCAAAGACATGGGGTACAGGTGAATTGGGTAGGCTTAATTGTCTGTAGTGTATGAGTGTGAATAAGCGTATATGGTTGTTTCCCAGTGATGGCTTGCAGCTGGAAGGGCATCCACTGCGTAAAACATATGCTGGATAAATTGACAGTTCATTCCGCTGTGGTTACCCCAGATTAATAAAGGGACTACGCAGAAAAGAAAATGAATGAATGAATGAATGAATTTAATAAGAGTTAAACTGATTTGTTAACATGTCTGTTAGGAGCTGATCTACCTTTTAATACATTTTTTGCTTAATTTTTTTTAACAGGTAAATAAATACATATATATATATATATATATATATATATATATATATATATATATATATATATATATATATTTGTACAAAAAAATGGTTCCAGTAGTAACGCTCCTTAAAGTTAAACTACATATTCACATTCCTCATCTGTCTACTGTTACATTATACTAATCGCTGTTACATACAGTGGCCGAGAGTGCAAAGAGAGTAATAAAACACAGACAAAGAAGACAGCTTTGTCACTTTTTCTATGCTATTTGTGAGATTGTGTATGTTGTCAAACTGATGAAAATGTTTTCTCAATTTACTTTTTGTGTTTGTTTGTGTTTTTATAACTTGCAGCCATTGTTAAATTTAAAAGTATTTTAAACGTGGATGGACATCTAAATGCATAAAGGGCACATATCTCAATAAATTATGAAATATTTCCAGATAAATCAATTTTGAATTAAAATGTATATTAATCTCCAGACTTGCATCTCCCTGATCTTTTTAAAATAACGGCCATTCGTTTGCTCATCACTGTTTGACAAGTGTCTGGCAGTCAGTCAAAAATATACTTACATATAAAGATGTTCATCAGCTACACTGCACTTAGGTTAAACTTTGACCTTCTTTTCAGTTGATGTGGAAAACAAAAGCAAAAGAAAGAAAAAACAAAACGACTGAATACAAGTTGCATATCATGCCTGTACAAATCAAAATTTATTCATTTAGGGCTTAAATTGACTTGTTTGAGGATGAGTTAAGGTGTAAGGGATGGGTGAACGGTGTAAATATACATGTAATTCATAGCTATGATGTAAAGCTGAATTTTCAGCATCATTTCTCAAGTCTTCAGTGTCACTTGATCTTTCAGAAATCTTTTTTTAAGATGTTGATTTAGTGCTTGAGGTTGAACTAATACAATGGTGATTATCAAATGGTGCTGATTTGCTGCTCAAGAAACATTTCTGATTGCTATCAATGCTAAAAACAGATGTGATGACAAATAATTTAGTGTAAACTTTTTCTAAGATTTAATAAATCAATTAATCATAAAAAATTAAACAAAATGAAAATCACAAATATTACTTCATTAGCAGCAAATTTGCATATTTATTAAGTTCTCAAGAATCATGTGATGTGAAATTTAATACCACTCACATGTTTCAATGTCAGAACTTTCTTAAAATAACTGCAATAAAGACAAGTAACAGATGCATAATATATAGACATGTAACATGTGCATAAAGATGTGCAATGGAAATTCATATGAATTAATTATGAAGGTAATTCAGTTGCGAAACTCGAGAGCTTGCAAATGTAAATGTGAGCACTTGTGATTATAATATTTGTATGTGTAGGTTGAAATGTACACTTACAGCTCTGATGTGAACAGCTGAAATCCTCGATTTGCACACACACACAACAATCCACACACTTGTGTTTTAAATTGGAAGTTGCAGATTAATAGTTGTGCATTTGTAAAATGTCATTCACAAATACAAAGTGACAGACACACGTGTGCAAGGCAAATTTGATTGCATCTTTGCTCTACAACCACAGGTCGGCACTCACAACCTCTCAGATTCGTCAGTACAACTACAAATCTCCCGCGCTCTGACTTTTGCTACACATCTCCCGCGATCGCTGCAGCAGAACTCATCTGTGCACTCGCAGACAAGTACACCCATCTGCAGCCCGCAGATTGGGGCGGGGCTGCATATGGGGCGGGGCTGCACATGCAGTCCCGCCCACCAGTAATTTCATTGGTTAGTGGAGATTGGGGCGGGGCTGCACATGCACTCCCGCCCACCTGTAATTTCATTGGTTACTAGAGACGTAATAACGTCGATGCCACTACGTCGTGTCAGTAAACAGGAAATGCATTTACAACTTCTCGAAAATTGTTTTATTGTTAATAAAATACACAAAAGCGGTTATTCCTGCTAAATGTCTCAATGTTAATTAAAAATATTATCAAATCATGAATTTTATAGATAAAGAAAACAGTTAGGTGAATTTCATTAGTATTTTTCCTGCAAAAATATTCCTTCTTAAAAAGGATTCCTGAAAGATTACATTTACAGAAATTAACTAGTTTTACTTTTGCAGAAGTACTGGTGATAATAGTTTTTTGGCCACATTTAATTTTTCTACAAATACCACGATTGAACTATGATTAGTGCTGCTTAATATATATGTGTGTGTGTGTGTGTGTGTGTGTGTGTGTGTGTGTGTGTACAGATGTACAGCAGTAAGACTGACAAGTTACCAAGAAAATAATAATAATTTAAGATACAGCAGTTTTTTGATTGTCTTTAATAAACAAAAACAATTAAATATTTTCATAGGGGAATTCCCCTCCAGCATTAAAGTGGCACTCTGCTGAGCAGTATCCTGGGAAGTCGATGGTGGAGTAGAATCCTCGCAGGACTCCCTTCCTGCCATCCCCAACATACCCAGGTGGGCAGTCTTTAAAAATGTCCCCACATTCAGGGCATTCAGTCAAGGAATATGGCACTCTGAACTCTTTTTTGTAGTCCTCAGAAAACCTACTCCAGTTGATGACACCTAAATAAAAATCAAGTACATTTAGCAAGACACAAACATAATTCAAAGTTTTACTAATAATACAGTACTGTTAAAAGTGTTTGGCATACTCTATATTCATCATCATGTGTACACACAGACAGACGGACAGAGATGAATAGAAACAAATATGGAATATGCCAAGCACTTTCCTTAGTCACTATTTATAAAGATTTGTTTATAAATAACTTACTGTCCAGCCAGATGTAGTGAGCCTGCTCCCTGAATTTAGCATTGCTAACTATTTCTTTGAAGATCCTGCACGTCAAGGAGAGGCGCAGGAAAGCCACATCACCATCCTCTGTGATGACCTTCAAAAGGATTTGCCGCAGGATCTCAGGAGGCATCTGTACAAAAATAGCCGACAATATCGCCAAATTGCCGCTTAACATATGTATATTAAAATAAAACTCAGAGTTAAAGATGTTTCTACTAGGCATACCGTGGTCAGATAATCGTCAGCTGGGACGGGGTCGATTGCCTCTAAATGAACAATAATAAAAAAAATTTAGAAACATATTTCTGCTGATTGTACCATTAAAAATACCAGTGTAAACCATACCTGCTCTCTGCGTTCTCATTCTTTTTCTGAGGCTTTTTCTTTCAGCATCTGACCTAAAAATGTTTTAAAAAAAAACTAAGATTAATGTAAAAATGTTATGCATTTTTTAGTCAAAATTTTTTTTAAGTTTTATGTAAAATTGCTAGGCTAAAGGTTCACTGATAAACTGAAAACATTTTACATTCAAGAGACCTAACTTACTTCAAGGGGTAGTTTGTCAGCAAAACTATGCACCACCAGTGTCTTAGCACTTGCATGTCAGACTGGAAAATAAAGAACAGATAAACTAATGTCAAGTAATATTAACAACAAAAAAACCCTACAAAACAAAGTTTACCTCATCAAAATCAAAATGCCCCTCCATCACAATGTATAGAGCATACTACAACATAAATAAACAGCACATTAGAGCAGATGTACAGTTGCATACTAAAATAGCATATTTGTTTTGTAATTATTCCAAGCAACAAAACAGCATATGCAAACATTAAATAAGTTTTTAAAGAAACTTTTTTTTTTATTACTTACCATCAACACAAACACTCCACAGTTATTTGAGCAGTGTTGTTTGGGAATGCCCTGGTAATACAAAAAAAACAAAAAGAACCCCACCATTAACAACAACAATTAGTAAAAAAAAAAAAAAAAAAAAAAAGACAAAATAAAGTGAAAACAAAACATTAACAGTAGTTAAGGAACAATGTTTATGGGTGAATCTTACTGGAATTTCATCAGCACTGTACTCATCCCATGTGTCTGAACATACATGCTGTGCTAGTTTTCTGTAGAGAACAATATTAAAAGAAACAAACATACAAAACATTAAACATTTAAATTGAAAGCTCTTACATCACAGGGCCTACAGTCCGTCAGACATTCAGATGGGACTGATTAAAAGAACATCAATGAACATATAAAGATAGATAAATCTGAACAAAGAGGAAAAAAGTGAACAAAAATAAACAAAAACGGGGATATGTGGTTTAAAACAGAACTACCATTATCCCGAACTCTGAACTTTTCACTCATAAACCTGTAACTGCTCAAGTAGCGTGTATCACTGAAGCCTCGTCCAGAGAGGGAATCAAGCCAATAGATCTCCCTTTTTTTTGGCTTCATGATCTATGACAGTGCAACTTTAACATTACATTTCATGAACTGAATCCTTACTTTTCAGGTTTTATATCTAAAATAAGTGGAAGAGTTTTATATTTTCTATTTATTTACTTGACATTATGTATTATATTGACACATACACAGATCATCCAGTGATTGCTCGTCCAAGAAGGTAGTAAAATGATGTCATGACTTGCCAGGTTTTCCTTAAACAAAATCATAAGAATTTTTTAAGAAATGTAGTATTTACAACACAAACACTAAATGACTTATTCTACACTGCCTCAGTAACAAATCACACAATAACACTCACAGGAACATTAGACAGTGGGTCACCACACATTGGAGGCAACCAAGTCACTGTCACATATGCACTGAACACATGGACTGTTATACCCTGTTAAGTGAAAATAAATTAAAATACAATTAAATAAGCAGATACAATCCTTTACATTAAATAAAGAGCTTTTTGGTCTAGGTCATTCTTTGCATTACCTGAAGGCCAGCAACATCCTTTATTACAGAAAGGCAAGCATTCAAAATCTGTAATCATTCAAGGATAAATTTATTCTACTACTTGTGTTAAGGTATTAATATACCAAAATGTGTTTGCAGAATCTTACTGTCGCCTCTACATCTTGAAGTAGTCCCAATGTTTGGAAATCCAACCTTGTGAGGACTGTGCCTCCAACAGATGCTAGGAATTCATCTTTTGGCCCTCTCTCCAGTAAGGCATGGTTTAACTATGAAAAGAACATACTATAATATACTGCAATACAATATCTTTCTCACTGTTCATCTTTATGCATTTTAGTTAAAGTATTTTTAATGATCGTCTAATGAATAAACATGTTTCATGATATATAAATCTAACCTTCTCCAGCTGGACTGGACTGGGTGGCTGTGTCCAGCATGCCTTGTTTGGCTGCACACATTCCAGAGTGAAAATACTCCCAATGGAAGTTTGAACAGGCACTACAAAATATATAAAATTTAAATAATTAGCAACAACACCCCATTTAAAATGACAACCAATATGAAAGAAAAAATATAAACAATTTAAATTCTTACAGTTGTTGTGTTGGTTCACTAAGGATCTCTTATCAGTCTTAACCGAGGGTGGAGGTGTGCCTTTAGATTGAAAAACAGTTGATGCATTATGTATAAAAGGTAATACTCTTACAACAACAAGTGGAAGAAGGAGGGCAACAAAGGAGAAAGAACGAGAAGGAAGAATAAGGAGAAAAACAGAGAAACAACCATTTTTTACCAAAATCCTTTGGTGCCTGTTTGAACACTGGCTCATGATCAGGTACAATCTCCAAGTCAGAAAACACGTGCTTGTCCATGAATCTGTGGGCTAAGACAAACAAAAATAATAAGAAAAAAAAGGTTAAATGCTGTGAACTATGTGGCCCTATGAGGTAGTCATTAAAACTTTAATAAAATATTTACACAAGTATGAAGAATATTTTAAAAAAATATGACCTTACCAATAAAATTAGATTCCAAAGTACGGTTGCCATGGAACAATTTATTAAAATGTTCCATTTTCTTTTGGTTATGTGCAAGATTCCGGTGGTGGAGAATATTTCGTGCCAGAAAAATATGTGCTGCTGGTCTTAACATATTCATAAAGTAGTTGTTTTTCTTTACTTCTGAAAAAAGCTGCTCTGCACGCTGGCTATTAACTTTTCCAGCCAGCTCTGGCACAAGACCAATAGTGCGGAGCACATCTCTTTCGTCCCTACTATTGCTTTGATGGAAAACGTCACACAAACAGTAGTGCTCGGAGGAACCGGTCACAGGGTGGCAGTCAGGATCTGCAGGTTTTTTTTTGTGTGCCAGCCAAGGAAGGTGAACTTTTAGTTTTCCTTCTTTTGCTTGTTTAATGTTTTCAGTGGTGGGGTCTTGCACTCTGCCCTCAAATGGGTGGAAAGGTGGACATTCTTGTTGCCTTTTATTTGTGTGTGCAACTAAGCCTCGAGGGTAATCATAGATTGTGACATTAGGAAAATTTTTCCATGACAGCAGAAGGTCTGTGAAATCACGTGGACTCTCAGCTCTGAGGTTAAATTTGATTGAGTAAACAATCCCACATGGACACATGATTACACCCACACCACCTATAAACACAGAAAATAAAAAATTAACTAAATTATTGAAACACTAAATAAAACATTTCAACAATAATATAGTACATTTTAATGTGGATCAAAAACCTTTCATAAATTATCCTAAAACTATTGAGCAGCAACCTTTCATATATTAGGATAATTTAAAAAACTTTGACCCACTTCAAATGTTTAACATATACTGTACACATGTGGGCATATATACATATACAGTACACATACATGCACTTACATACGTCGTAACTCACCTGAAGCACCCCAAATCTTTTCAAACACCTTGTTGTATGTCACTCTATTCGACATTTTATCACGAAGTCTGAGGACGAGATCCATTTTGGAACCAACATTATCAACCCCACACTGTCGACACAGCTTTTTCAAATCTGCAATCTAATCATAAGCAAATTTGAGAGTAAGTTCAGCAAAAAATAAATCAATTAAAAAGTACTTTAAAATAGTAGAGTGACATTTTTACTAATTAATTTGCAGCCTACTAATATTGGCTTTATTTGGAAAAACTAAAACACTTCCATGACAATTTAAACAAAAATCTACCTTGAGGTGGAGAAGCTCATCTCCAAGTCTTTCCTCAGTAAGGGGCACATCCATGTCAATCCCTCCATCTAGAGAATGCACTTTTGCATTCTCGGTGTTTAAAACCATGGTTGATCCCCTTGTTTTTGGACCTATCCACGGGGACCAGTAGTGGTAACTCGGGGAAATTTTAAATGGGTTTTCTTTGCCACCTTGAGAAAAAAAAAACTATTTAATGCATCAACACTAAACATACAGCTAAAATTAAAAAGCTGATATCTTAGTGGGCAGTTCTTCTATTATATGAATTTAAGACCACTACATTGCACTACACTAAAAAATAAAATAACTACAATTTCAGTTTTTGGTTTAGTTTTTTTAGTTTAAATACTGCTAATTCCTACACTATAATAAATCTGTTAGAAAAGAAAAATGACAGAAAACTATAATGTGTGGGCGTTTAGAAAACACTGCAAAAGGACATATCATGATACAAATCTTCATTCTATCATGCAGCAATATTTGCATACCAAAACAAATCAAAACTTACTTGGGTAAAACCCTCTGCTTATCACATCCATTGCCACTGCATTCCAAAATTGCTCTATGTCAACATGACCATCATAATCCAGAGGTGGAGATGGAATTTCACTCACTGTAAAGGAACAAATCAAAATATGTGAATTATGAATTTAAAAAAGCAACAAAACAACTCCAACTGAAACCAGCGTTTACCTGGGATGCTAAACACTCCTTTTTTATGAAGGTCCATAATCACAGTACTTGGACTGTATCCACAGGACACACAGGAGTACATGTAGTCCAAATCACACAAAGCTTCAAAGTGCAGATACGCCTGCATGATTAGGTCACCTTTAGGCAAGGACTCTCCCTCTGTGGCTTCAATTATTCGCACAACCCTACCAACAGCTGTGTGATTCTGAAAAGAAGAAGCATATATATGCAAGCATGCATGGTTAAATAAATATATAATAAAAGCCCTCATCAACATTTCTATTATTAGAATTTTTGTTAAAGAACAAGTTATAGTGAAAAAGCAGGCATTATTGCTGATATTGTACCTGTAGAGAATTTCTCAAAACCAAACATAAGTGTAGGGTGAGGATTACATGATCATTGAAGTTGTGCAAACCATCTTGCCATTCTTGGTATCTGTATATGTGATTGCATTTATGGCACAACTTGTAGTAGGTTGACACACCTGAAAAAAAAAAAGATTTGAACAGATTTATATATATTTGTAAACTGATAAAGAAAAATTCTAAATAAATGCAAGTCACATTACAGTATCTATTGAAACAATAAAACTGCCATACCCTGAATCAGTCCATTGAATGAGACTATCTTTGCCCGACAAGTTATCAAAACAGGGTCACTCAAAACTCCCTTGCATAGTCTGCATTCAACCTCCTCAGGCACAAGATGTTTTGGAAAAGCATGCTTTGATTTTTGCAGGATGTCTTGTTGGAGTTTCACTGGAATTTTCTTATGTTCAAGCATGTCTTCCATCATTTTTTTGACTGTAGCAGAGTTAGGGGGATATGAATCATGACAGCAGGCATCATCATCTTCATGAACAGTGTTGGAAACTTCTGAACACTTAAGTCTTTTGAAGAGCTGTGGTATTGTCTGGAAAAGATGCCACTTTGCTGTGGCTTTGTGAATACAGGATTGACGAGGCTTGGCACAAGGACAATGCCAGTTATTTTTCTTTTTATCATAAGTCACCATGACCCTTCCCATTCTACTGTAATAGGACACTGTTGGTTCAAACACAGAAATGAAACATTTTGTTGATGAACTTCCAACTGTGACATGGAAAGACAAAGGTGTCTCCGCAACATTTGCTTCCCGCTGCAACTTTAACAGTTGGATTTTCCTTGCTTCACCAAACCACTTTTCCTGCACCAGCTGAGAGAGACTGTTTTCTGTCAGTGCAAAATTGGATTCTTCAATTTGTTTACAAAAACACAATGACTGTACATGGCAGCACTCAAATGGTAAGATCCCAGTTATGTGTGCGTATTCAGCATTTGAAATGCATTGGTCAAGTTCACATGCTGAACGAAAGTTTGGGCCCCATGTATTTTTTATTACATGTATGGGTATTGCTTGACCATGAAATGCCTTTTCAACAGCAAAAATGCCAATTTTTCCATCGATGCACTGAGATCTCAAGTGCTTCTCAGGAGTCATTGCATTTACTCTGTCAGTATGTTGTCTTTGAATGTGAGTTCGTAGATTTTTGGCCAGAAGTGTTACATTACATTGGCTGCAAGTGGCAGTCTTCTTTGCTGACAATTTTGGGAGTGACTGCAAAGGGTGGACAGAAGGTGACTGAGCCTGTTTCTGCTTGACAGATGTCATCTGGGGCTGTGTCTGCTGGGCAGATGACTGACACTGTGCCTGCCTGACGGATGTCACCTGGGGCTGTGTCTGCTGGGCAGATGACTGAGGCTGTGCCTGCCTGACGGATGTCACCTGGGGCTGTGTCTGCTGGGCAGATGACTGAGGCTGTGCCTGCCTGACGGATGTCACCTGGGGCTGTGTCTGCTGGGCAGATGACTGAGGCTGTGCCTGCCTGACGGATGTCACCTGGGGCTGTGTCTGCTGGGCAGATGACTGAGGCTGTGCCTGCCTGACGGATGTCATCTGGGGCTGTGTCTGCTGGGCAGATGACTGAGGCTGTGCCTGCATGGCAGAGGTCACCTGTGGCTGTGTCTGCTGGGTAGACGATGACTGAGGTTGTGAATCCTGGACAGATGATGACCCAGGCTTGGTCTGCAGCACAGCTGATGTCTGAGGATGGGTTGAAAAGGCATGCTGTCTGGCAATGTGGTTTAGTATATTTTCCCGAGTTAACACAATCACTGAACAATAGCAGCAGTGAAAGTGGGATTTTTTTCTACATTTTAAACCACATTTTACAATGGTAAAATCTGAAATAGAAAAAAAAAACAAACATATTTTTTAAATTGCATACAATAAACCTTACTTGCGTCTCACTCTGGCCTTTGGACAGTTGAATGACAAGCACATTTTTTATTATTTGAGCAACAAAGACCCAAGATTTATGAAGCATGATGGTTCACGTTACGTAGAAAATAAAGTTTGCCTGAGCCTCAACATAAAAATAATAATGATTACAAATAAAAATGCAAACGAAAATACACTTTGCAATATTGGCTAGTTTGACATCAAATTAAACTAAAGTGATGAAAGCAAAACCTTTAAACTCACCATGATGTTGTACTGCCCTCTGTAAGTGATTTTTTATGTGATAAAGCATTATTTGTGGCATACTAGTGTATGAGCAGAATGGGCACTTGTCACTGCAGTTTTTTAAATACTGCTCGCATTCGTCCTTGCATAGCACGGTTTTATGCATATTTGCAAGGGGAAATGGCTCTTAAAAGAGCCGTTGGGTTATGAAGTAAGGATAAAAGAAAATACAAATAAAAAGTTGTAAACAAATGTAAAAAATAATTAACAGCAAAATAAATAAATAAATCAAAACAAAAAGAGAGAAAGTACTGAAGTAAAAAAAAGTACTCCACAAGAATTGTAAGGACGAATATATCAATGACAGGGATCTGCAAACAGAAGGTAGCACAGATCAATAGGTTAGGAATCAAACGTTTTATATTGCACATATTTAGCAGTAACATTATCAGAGTAACATATGTAATTTAGAGAACAATCCATTGAATGGATTTAATTCATAGAAGGAATCCCAAACAAATTTATATTTTGTTCATATCATTTCTTTGATATCAATAAACTTCATATGTGATGGACTGCATTTACCAAACTGAGGTAAAGCTGATTTTATATTCGCACATTCGTTCAGCTACAACTGATGACACAGTCCTTATATTGTTTGCCACGCTGTTTTGAATAT